TAGCTACAGAACATGTACTGTGCTGTGTAAACTGTACTGTATCACATAGCGTTTCAGACACAAACTTTTCAACTTTCAAACTTAAACGGTGCGCTCCCAGCGCACGTACCGGCAGTGATCTACAGCAGTGGTTTTCAACCAGTGGTACGGGGACAAACTGTCTCGCTCACGTAATGTCTGTCTGTCTTGCTCTCGTTCTGTCTCTCGTACCACTCTCGGTTCCACTTTTACTTTTGCGCGCTACCTGCCTCACTCTTTTCCGGCCTCCAGCTTTTCCTGCTGGAACCCGCCGCTTAAAGGTGGGGGTCCGCGGACCGGCCATAGAGCCCATAGAGTTAAAGGTGTTGGCCGTGTAACCTGTAAAATCCATAGATTTAGGAGGTCCCCTAGTGGCCGTTAGCTGTAAAAATCCATAGATTAGCCGCACCGTTATATAAGCAGCAGCGTCGAAAAATAGGGAAAAAGGCGCGGCTTATAGTCCGAAAATTACGGTAAGTACTTTTACTGTACTTACAGTAAACAGAATTCTAGGGAATCATGAGTACTTTCTGCTGTTTTATACTATATTTTAGTTTGTTTGTCTGAACACCTTGTTTCTCTTGTGTATTAAGAACACTTGTGTTAGGGCATGATTTAACAATAAATAGGTTATATATATATATACAGTATAAAATACCACGTACTGCCCGCCCTCCCATGCCACCCTGGCATGACCTCTTGCCCCCCCTTTGCCACCCCATGTAAAATGTTCTAGAACTGCCACTGGGGAGAGCTAACAGGTTTTTTTAATGCAATGAAAATTTTATTTTTTGAAAGGCTTAAAGGTATGGTAGGTAATTCGCTTCAGAAACACTTTTTGTTATATTCCATGGAATGTTCTTAACATCCCGATAGCAATGAATATCTTAAATGCTTTGACAATAAATCCATAAAAACATTTCATCTGTGGAAGCCGTAGTACTGTAAAAAGCACGACCAATCATCTGAGCCGCCGGCCCGGCTAAAATAACTGGATGGCCTACCTGCCTGTCAGCCTTCCATCTGTGCACAAACTTATCTCGTGCCCTCATTGGTCATGTGCGCGTTCGTGTGTGTTGGAGGAGGGGCTCTGTAAGGAAGTGGCAGATTTTTTCGGTTGTGTATTTTCAAATTCTAGCGCACTCGAGCTGGTTCCTCC